AAAGAAGAAAGAAAGAAAATGTGGTATGTATACCTGATGGCATACTATTCAGCCTTTGAAAAGCAGGAAATCCTGTCATTTGCAGCAGCATGTATAAACTTGGAGGATAGGATGCTAACTGAAGTAAACCAGGCACAGAAGGACAAGCACTATGAGATGCTTGTATGTGGAGTCTTGAAATGTTGAATTCAGAAATAAAGCATGGCATTGGTTACTAGGGCCTAGCGGGAAGGGGATTTAAGTGAATGTGGGTCCAAGAATACAAAATTCAGTTAGGAGGAATAAAGTCAAGAAGTGTATTGTACCACATGGTAACTACAGGCCATGGTGATTGTCCTGGAAACTTTCTCATCACTGAGATATAATAGCTGAGACCCGAACATAAAGGAGAGGCTTATTTTGTCAGCTGCCCCAGGGCCATCAACAGCGCAGCAGAGGGGCATGGTGGAGAAAACGCTGCTTTTGTCATGGTTGCTGGGAAGCACACCCATGAAGGAGGTACACCCCTCCGGGTCACGCTCTCAGAAGCCTGCTGCTTCTGATTAGACCCGACCTTCTAATAGCAATAGCAAGTCAGCAGTGGTGTCCATAATCCAATCCCGGCCCAGAGCCCTCCCTGTGAGCACCTGTGCGGGTCACCTAGCTAGCTATGAGCCATAATAGTGCAGGGAGTCACTGCTTAGCCACCTTAGTTCCTAGGTGGCTCAGGAACAGGTGATTCAGTTATGGTGTGGACATCACAGAGTATGCAAACTAAGATGGTTACAAGGTGAAGTATTCTTGCAGATTATCATCATACAGATGGTCTAATGTTGACCAAAATGTTCATCAGAGCCATGAGCGTATACAGGTTTCACTACGTTGTCCTGACTGGCTTCAACTCCTGGGCCCAAGTGACCTTCCTTCCCTAGCCTCCTGAATATTGGGATTATAGCCATGTACCAATATACTAGCCATACATGTATTCTTGAAAAAGGAAGCAGTGATGTGGGGTGACAGAGATGGAGAAGATGACGGATGATCCTGGTCCAGCCCTCACAGGACCTGGAGTGTGGCAGCGGCTCAGAGGTGAACCTCCAGAAGGAATCGCAGGCGACACTGGCTCTCCTGATAGATGAGATACTCACTCTGGGAGAAGTGAGAGCTGCTGAATTGTGGGCACGCAATGGGCCGGCCCTGGGACACAGCCACTCGCTGGCCATCCAGCTCCAGTTCAATGTCCTGGGTAGGATCTGGAAGGCACAGCAAGGGCCATGGGTAGCCCAGGGTCTCTGGTTCCTGGTACCTAACCTTCCCAGTCTGTCCTGGCTTCACACTCTCCTCTTTTGTCCCAGGGAAAGCTGCTCTTTTCCACCTTGCCAGCCCCAAGTCATGCCCGGGCTGGACCTTCTGATGGAACATCCTCCCCTGATCCTCTCTAGGAAGCTCCTACTCCTGTCAATGCTCAGCCAATGACACCACTTTTTTTAACCCACTTGGATGACCATGAGTGAAGTGTTGGATCAGATGTCTGGTGGATGACAGGGAAAGACTGCAGTGAAAAAGGCTTCTTTCATCCTTCTCCAGTCCTCTTTTTGCTTGTCTCCTCCCTGGTAATGAGCCATTCCCCACCTTAGTCCTAGCCTGACCCTCAGGGCTCACCAGGCTCTGTGCATCCTTGGGCAATGACACTGTCGCAGCCGAGGGGTGGGCAGTTCAAGCTGGGGTCATCCACGGTGATGCGGTGCTCTTTGCCCAGGGCTACCTCACCGAGGAACATGTAACCCACCTGGTGGCTCCCATTGTACATGGCAGTAACTGGAAGACATAGGAGGTCTCAGGAGGGCAGCTGGACCTCTGCCTGATCTCTGTGTGTGTGTGTGTGTGTGTGTGTGACAGTGGCATGCTATCTCTGCTGGCTTTGCGGCCCGAGCTCAGGAAAGGGCCCACTCTACCCCAGATCCTGTGGTCCTGACTCTCCTCCCCCCAGGCTCTGTATCCTCTGCCACCCTCATCAAGTCAGCAGACCCAAGGAGGGGTCTACTGAATCTGCTACTGGTATCCTTTAGTGTCACCCCTGGGAACTCCCAATTCCCTTCAGGGCTCTTCTGAGGTCTTCCTAGTCTCTCTTAGGCTCCTCTGTCCTCCCCTGGTCTTAGCTGACCTCCGAACTTCAACCCCATCTTCCCTTGGAGGAATCCTTAGGCTATGTTCTTTTAGACATGTGGGTGGTGGTAGCCTCCAATGACGTGGTCAGCCTAGGCTTCAGGGCCTTACCTGGAAGATCACTTCAGTCAAGCACTGTGCCTACAACTTGGCAGTCCCCGGAGGCCCCTTTGGCCCTCTCCTACATGCTGCCCCTCTTCTTCCCACATGCCCATCATGGATACTCTCCCTTCCAACTCCTCAGAAACAGGCTTGCGCAAGAACCTGGCTTCCCTGCACCTTCCAGCCTCAGTCATCTTATTCAGAGTTGCAGCCACTGATATCCTGCTAGGTCCATGTGAGCTAGGCTTCCCCAGTCCCTTGGGGAGGCTTCCTTGACAGTCCTGGACCTCTGACCCTAATTGTGCCAGACACTCTTGTGAGCTCAGCAGCAGGGCCTTGGCTGGCACAACCTCCTCACCCCTCTGCCATCCCCTCCCCTTGACGCTTACTCTTGCACCCTTTGTTTGTGCGGTTGCTGCGCTCATCCTTGCCTCCTCCAGGAAGTTGGCCCTGCCTTACCTCCTCCAGGAGGCTCTCTCTGATCACCAGGAGCCTCCTCAGAAACCCCCATGCTGAGCATGCTGCCTGAGCACTCTGGCCAGCAACCCTTTGAGGTCTCCTCCCTCCGGTACATCCTGAATTTCCAGTGGGAAAGTCTGGCCCACTCCATCTCTGCCCAGGGCTCAGCCTGGAAGGTGCCTCACCATAGTTAGCTGACTTGCTGTTCTCCGAGGCAAAGTAGATGCCCTTGCCAACACGGCCACCAGAATGTGGCATGATGCGGAGTCCCATGGTGAGGATGGCAGCCACCACAGCCACGTTGGTGCCATGCCACAGCAGCCTCCGATTCCCCAGCTTGGAATGGATCCGGAACCTGTCTTCCTAAGCAGGAGAGGGGCAGGAAATGGAAGACAGACATGGGCGCGCAGCTGGCATGACTAATGCTGAATGTCCCTCTGGTCACTCATACCCTCATGCCAGAGAAACTGGTCAGAGCAGCTAGATAAGCCAAGCTTCTTTTCTTGAGGGCCAGGATAATGATAGGGGAGGGGTTGGGGAATCTCCTTTACCTCGCCTTCCCGGTTCACTTTCCAGATGTGCTGCAGAGCCAGGCGTCTGTGGGTGCTGCTTGTCTGCTCCAAGTAGGTCTGTATCACCTACAAGAGAGCAGAAGCTGGGGGACTTGTGGCCTCCTATCCACACTCTCCACACTAGGACGTCCTCCTAGTCCCATAGCTCTCCTCAGACTCTGCAGACACAGGAGAGAAGGCCAAGGGCCAAGAATCCTCCCAACCTCTCAAAGCAGAAGGCAAGAGGGCCACTGCTCCGCAGGGCCCAGCCCACCTTGTACTCGGGTGCCTCAGAATCCAGCAGCTCAAGCTGGCACTTGAGGAGTTGGTAGTCTCGGTCCAGTGGGTGTGGCACCTCCTCCACTCTCTCCTCTGCTTCACAGGTCACCTTCAGGGTGTGGGCCAGCTCAATGTCTGCCAGCACCTAGGATGATGGGCACTTGGGCACTGGTAGCTTGTCTCTCCTGGACCTCTGGCCTCCTCCTATCCCACAGGACTGATTTCACAGCCACTCCACCTGCTGTCCATCAGCCCAGCCCCACCTGTCCCTCAGCCTGCCCAGTGCAGTCCATCCCTTTGGGGCTTCTTGGCCACCTGTCCCTTGCATTCCTTGCCCAGTCTGTCTGGTGTCTTGCCGGCAGCCTGCCACCTGCTGGCCCTCACCAGCAGCATGTCCTTCTTGGCCTGCAGAAGCTCTGGGGAGTTGATGGGTGGGGGCTTGCTGCGGCCAAAATTGTGTGGGATGATGGTGTAGAAGCGGGAGGACAGCTCTTCCAGGACGTCATCTGCAGGGACTTTCAGCGCCTCTTCCAGTGCTTCCAAGGCCTCAAAGCCCCGTGCAATCTGCTGCTTGCTTAACCTCCCTAGGGGCATCTTCTTCACATCTGGGGAGATGGGAGATCAGGGGCTCAGCCACACAGCCCTGCCACCCTGGGGCCCTGCCACCCTGCCAGGGTGTTCATCTCACCCAGGTTCATGAGGGTCATGGCATTCTTGAACATCTCCTTGCTGAAGATATTGGTGATGAGCTTCTGGGTGGCAGGGTCCAGAGAGCAGGGCAGTACCCGCTTAACCACAGTCCCTGCTGGGCCTCCACCTACCTGGGGAGAGAGGGCCACAGAAGCTGGCCAGGGCATTGGCACTTGGTGCAGAGCGTGGCAACAGAGACAAGCCAGATGGTGACCAGAGAGGGTGGCCCCGAGGCTGCACATCTGGGCAGTGGCAGAACCTCATGTACTGGGTCTCTCCAACCAATAGTGCTCGCCCTCAGACCAGGCCCACTACCCACAGCCTTATCACCTTCACCATGGCCTCCTGGATCTCAGCTTCTCCTTGCACTTCAATAGGTGTGTACTTGCCAGGGTGGGGCACAAAGTGGTCCCGCTCCGCCCATTGATTCTTGGTCTTCTCTTGAAACTTCTTCTCGAAGACCTTCTTTGCATCCTCTAGGCAGGAGAAGCAGTCCATCTTTGACTGGCCCACCTCTCCCTGCAAGTAACAGTCATCAGGCTTGTTTCTGTCATAAACCTTTGCTGGTCTCCATGGTGGGGCAGGCCCTGTGGCCAGAGAAGCTGGCCAGGGCCTTGGCACTTGGTGCACAGCATGGCGACAGAGACAAGCCAGATGGAGACCAGAGAGGTGGCCCCCGAGGCTGCACATCTGGGCAGCTGGATGTGAAGGGGGGCAGTCAGAAGCTGTGGCTTTTGGGGACTCTGGGGAATACTGTTGAGGTGGGGGAGGCAGCACAGGGGCTGAGACGCTCACCACGCGGCCCCAGCGGTTCCAGCAGTAGAAGTGTTTGCCATCTTCCAGCAGTTGAATGACATAGAACTTGTTGTTGTTTTTCTTGATGTTGGTCTGGTTCAGGGTACAGTCATAGTCCTCATGGACCTGGGCAGAAGCAGGACTGAGGCAGGCTGCGGTTGCACAGATGTTTGGCTGTACCCTGAGAGGGGTCCAGTGGGGGCAGGAGCCTGACGGCCCTGGGGTATCAATGAGGCCCTATCCTGTAGCTCGTGGGTCACAGTTCTGCCCTAGCAGATGCAGTGTAAGGGGTTCTGGAGAGAAGCAGGTATGCCCTGGGGGGGGGGGGATCTGAAAACATGGCTCTGCCCTGAGAGTTGGTTTGAGAGGAAGTCAGAGCCCTTCCTGGTGCGGGGTCTGACAGGCAGGCCTAGCTTACTTGGGCCTGGTGAGTAAAGCCCTGACCCTGATGGTCTTTGGAAAGATGGCCTTGCTCTGGAGCTAACCTGGGGCTTAAGTGCCAGGGGGATGGTGCATCTGTCCTTAGGAGGGCGCAGGCTCCAGCCCACCTGGGTATGTGACTCACCTGGGTGCCAGGGCTATTGCTCAGTGGACAGTTGGGGTCCACATGGATTATGCGCTTCTCTGTGGGTGCAGCCCTGAGGGCCTCAGCAGTGGAGTGAAAGCTGTCCTCTTTCCCGGGCCCCTGACGCCCCTTTTTCTTCTCAGGGTGCTCAGTCTTCACTGAAGGCCTTCGCTTTGAAGCCATGGTTGTCTTAGAGAACAGGGGGCAGTCAGACCTCTATGGCTCCTGCAGCCCACCCTACCTCACAGCACCCACTTGGCCCACTTGGGCTTGCCTTAGGAGGCTGCGCTATTCCTCTCTGTGTACACCATGTCCTGGACCCACCCAAGCCCAGAACCACCTCTCTGTATCTTAGTTAACTCTTCTCCCCAGTCACAAATGCAAGGTCAGAACCTGATTAGTTGGCCCATTCTGGCCAACAAAGAGGCTGGTGCCCACCCTTTAAAGCTCTCTAGTAGTGAAAGTGAAAGGAAGCTCTTCTGCTTCCACTTCTAGGCCCTGCCCTGTCCAGCACACATCCTCCTGGCCTAGCCAGGCTGCTGGGCTGAGTCACTGAGCTATGGGGGCAGGGTGGGCAGCTGCTCCAGGGCAGCCATCTTAGGATCAGCTTGGAACCCAGGAAGGAGTAGCTTCCTCCTAACATGTTCAGTTCTTGCCAGGTGTGGTGATGAACACCTGTAATCCCAGCACTTGGGAGGCTGAGGCAGGAAGACTGCTGTGAGTTTGAGGCCAGCCTTAACCACACAGTGGAGACCCTGCTTTCAGGAGAGAGGAGAGGACAGAGGACAGAGATTCGTTCTGCGGGGCCAATCTAGGAACCAGATTAGTGGCTTTGAACTGCCAGAGGTCAGGGTCAGTTCCACCCACCCAGCTCTGTACTACTATGCAGAAGTTCATGGGCAGGGCCACAGGACACTCACCTAAGAGAGGCAGGGACCTGCGAAAGTTTGCTGCCACCCAACCTAGTATCCAGAATGCTGGTGCTCTTTCCAGGACATCACCAGGTCTGGGCACTCCTCCTGCAACCTTCTGTGAGCTTGAGGCAGTCTTGAGTTGGGGAATTCCTGACAACTTCTGGAGGAGTGGGAGGAGCTGGGGGAGGGTGCAAAGTTCTAGTCGCTGGATCACCAGTGGGTGGTCACACACATGAAGGAACACTGATTTGGAAATAGCAACGCCCAGGGCACAGACACTCCCTGACACAGCTGTTCCAGCCTGAGGCACGCCCCACGCACGTACAACCAGCCCAGTGGCCTTTGCAGCAGAGGGACACTAGCTCCCTTTCTCTAGGGCTCCCTGGATTCCGCTGGTTTCCTCGGGCCAACGCGGAACCCCTCGCACTTCTGGCTCCCCCTAGCGGCCATAGGGCGAAAGCACCGCTCAGACCCTCCAGGCTGACTCCTCGTGGCGTACTAGTAGGAGAGTAGGAGCTATACAAGTCTTGTTGCATAGGTCCTGCTTTACCTTGGTCTTAACCATCCAGAAGAAAAGTATAAAAATGAAATATAAGAAGTAAAGCCATGCTATTATGTTGAGTTGTGGGGGACTCAGGTGAACAATTTCTGACATTGCCAGTTAAGCGGAAGACCCAATACTATTACGGGCTACTGGACTCTTTTAGAATATTTTGCTGAGTTTACACACCTATAATATTCAAATAACGGAACTTAACAAATAAAGGGTATACAGATGAATGTCCATTTTGTATCTGTGTATTCAAAGTGGTTAGGATAGATATATAGTTACATTCTCTTAATGAATAGAATGATTTGTTCTAATGGTGTTTGTAAATAGGATATCAAGTCTGCATCTTGTACAGCAATTAACCACTAAGAAGAATGTATGCAGTGTGTTAATTATTGAAACTGTCCTACCGATATGATTTGAAACTGTCTCATTGCTATTTGTTTATCAATAAAATTATGGCAAAAAAAAAAAAAAAAGGAGAGTAGGGCGCAAGCGCTAGAGCATTAGACCGGAAGCGCCGAGGAGGGAGGATTGCTTCCGACTCCATCCCGGCCTCGGGGCGTGGTAAGAGTGTCTAGCCTATGGTCGTCTGGGGGCGTGGCAGAACCTGCTTGAGTATCCAATGGAATTGCGGGAGGTGGGACCTACCGGGAGGTGTCAGCCTATCAGGGAACAGGGTCTTGCCTGGCGGTCTGGGGTTTAGTTTCCACGTGAGCCTCTGGAGGCCGCGGCAGCAGCACTTTGGATAGGCAGCATGTCCGCCACAGCAGCATCTCGAAAGCGGGGAAAGCCGGTCGCCGGGGTTGGGGCCGCTGCAGGGGCCGGCAAGCGGCGGAGAAAGGTGAGGATGGAGTTTCCGGGGGACGCGGCCTGTCTTGTACTGGGACAGCTGCTATCCCATCCGAGGAATCCGGACCCGAAACCCTGTTGAGCTCTGGAATCAGCTTCGCCCCTCTCTCTGCCCGCCAAAAGCTGTGCACTTATTGATCAGGATCAGGAGCCACCGCCTTCCCCTGTCCTGGACTCTCAGAAAATCAGAAGGGCCCTTGGTCAGTGCAGGGGTGGCCAGGATCAGAACAAAGACAGGCTCGTATCATTAATTCCCAGGTCGATTCTGCGGGTGACAGGAGCAAGTCCAAAGGCGGCGGCAAGATGAACGAGGAGATCTCCAGCGACTCGGAGACCGAGAGGTGAGCTGTTACTTCTCACCTAGTGGAAGGGGAAACTGAGGCCCACTGGGTCGAGAAACCAAGACCTTGACCCCTTTGCTTTCCGATCAAGACCCTTCCAAGTTTTAGCTCTGAGAAGTCTCATCTCTACCTCCTTACTTCCCCACGACAGGACTCTTTAAGCATGCACAGGCAAGGAGCGTTAGATGGAAACACGCTCGCTAGAGTTTCTTTCTACTTGTCCATAAAGTCACAGCGATTTTCTTTCTTTTTTTTTGAGACAGGGTTTTCACTGTGTTGTCCTGCTAGGATCAAGTGATTGTCCCACCTAGCTTCCTGGGTGTCCTGGGTAGTGAGGACTACAGGTGCTCCCTGCCATCTCTCAACTCTTTAATGTGCTAGACATTGGCTTCACTGTTAGGAGGACAGAAATGAGCCGGCAGGTAGAGATAGAACATGTGGTGTGAGATCTTACAGCAGTGTGTTTTGGGAACATAGAGTCTTAATGTAGAGGTAACATGGCATTCAAAGATGAGGAAAAAAAAGTTTGGAATGTTATTCATTGTGTCAGAACAGGAGATGGGAAGGATGGAAGGACAGGTGCTGGGCGGATCCAGAAGCCAGGGGGCTTTGGATGTTTCCCACATTTCTGCAGGTGATGGGAGGCTCAGGGTTTCAAAGGCCTGACACTTGTGGGGGGCTGAAGGTTCTTAGTCCATGGAATGTTGTTGACTTCCGCTGGATTTAGAAATTGTGCTTCTGAATTTGAGTTTTTATTGCCTTAACTTGCCCACAAAAAGACTTAGAGTTTTTTAATTTTATTTTGTTTTTTGAGACATGGTCTTGCTTTGTAGTTTAGGCTGGTCTTGAACTCCCTGTGTAGCCCAGGCTGGCCTTGAATTTATTGTGATCCTTCTGACTCGGCCTCGCAAATGCTGAGATTACTGGCATGTACCACCACACCCAGCTATTTTTTTTTTTTTTTTTTAATGTATTTAGTACAGGGTCCTCAGGGTCTCACTACACAGATTGGACTTATAGTGATCCTACTGTTTTCAGCCTCTCAAGCACTGGATTTACAGGCATGTGCTATCACACCCAATCTTAATGGCCATCTCAGCGTGCCCCGGAGCAGGCCAGCACCAGGGATCAAACCCCGGTCCCTGTATCTGCCTAAACAGATGCTTTAATCTGCTGAGCTATCTGGCCAGCCCTAATTTTTTTTTTTTTTTTTTCATTTGCAGAATCTTGGAAGTACCAACCGACATTTCTGATTCTAGCTAACCATTTCTTTACTTTTCTTTTAAAAAATAAAGGTTTTTTTTGAGGTATAATTTACATGCAATAGTAGTCACCGTTTTTGATCTGTAGTTCTTTGAGCTTTGACAAATATACAGGTAGCTGCTGAAGGTTTTTTTTTTTTAATGTATTTAGTACAGGGTCTAAATACATTAAATACATTTTAGGTAGCTGCCACAACCATGAAGATACAGAACACCCCTTCTGCCCCCCCCACCCCCAGACACCCTACTCTTCTGTAGGCAGTTCCTCTTTACCTCTGCTAACCAGTATCCCTGGCATTGGCTTTCCAAGAAAATTCTGTAAAAGAAATCATGCAGTGTATACTTTCTTGCTTTTCATTAGAGTTTTGCCTCCTGCGTGTGAATCCTTGAACAACTGATTGATTTGGGTAAACTCCCAACCATGGCCTCGTATGGGAGGGGCAGTATCAGCCGTGCTGGCAGAAGGCTTGGCAAGCACTAAGTGGTCTGTGGAGCAGTATTTGGCTTTGGCTTTCTTGAGTTTTCAAAGTCCCTTCTGTGGGAAGTCATGGGCTAGATCATGAGTGGGTGCTGACAAACATGGTTGGGGAGCCCTGTAGAGACTAGGGATCCCAGGCATGTGGTCAGAGGGCATGGGCTACCCTGAATTTTCCTTTTTCTTTCCACCCAAGACCCAGTCTTACTATGTAGTTTAGACTGGTATTGAAGTCACTATGTAGCCTAGGCTGGTCCCAAACCCTCAGCAGTTCTCCTGCCTCGGCCTCCCAAGTGCTGGAGTTAATTGGCCTGTGCCACCACACCTGGCTACCCTGGATCTTCTACTTCTGAGTTCCCATAATCTATATTTGAGTGAAGCGAATGCCCTTGGTTGGCCAAGGGGAGAGGCCTAGGAGGGACAGAGAAACTTTTATCACTATAATGCTAAGTCACAGCCAGTTAGGATTCACCTGGAACTTTGTCCTGAGGGTACAGGATGGTACTGGGGCAGTGAGTCTAGGATAGTGACAGACCCAGTGTGTTGTCTCTCTCGTCCTTGGAGTTGACTGGACTGGCTGTCCTGTGTTTGGAGCTGGTTGCCGTCTTGGGCTGTGCCTTTACTGCTCACTGTTGCATCTCCTGCTTCTGGTACCGTCTGCCTTCCTCCCCTCACGTCCTCCAGTCGTGCTAAGAAGAGAAAGAACTGATTCTGCATCACATTGTGTAGCTGACAGTTTCTTTTTTGGTGCTGAAAATTGAATCCAGGCATTGTGCACACTGTGTCCATGCTGTAACCCCCCAAGCTACATACACCCCAACCCCTGGTACTGACTTCATTTTTCCTGGTGCTTTCAGTGGGGAGGGTGTTCCAGGGGTTGGTATTTTCCTTCAGAGTTTTGTCTTCTGGTTCTCAGTGTTGGCACTGAGATGTCTGAAGCCTTGATTTCTCTTCACTTCTCTTGAAAGCCTGTAGAACTGTTTCTCCAAGAGTTGAGAGATTTCAGTGATCTCTGGTGTTTGGGTCTGTTCTCATCCTTACTTCAGCTATGAAGTGGGGCCTTTCAGGTTGGTGAGTTACATCTTTCAGCACATACCGTCCTTGGCCCTGCGGGCTGGCAGTGATGGACAAAGTTGAGTGGTAGGAGAGCATGGAGGAGGTGTGTTCCTTTTGCCCAGGGGATTGGACTAAGCCCCCTCAGACCTGACCCCTCGTTGCCCACAGCCTGGCTCCAAGGAAGACTCAGAAAGAGGAGGAAGAAGAAGAGCTGGAGGAAAATGCCCAGGAGAAGAAGCTGCGCTTGGCTAAGCTTTACCTTGAGCAGCTGAGGCAGCAGGGTGAGCCATGGGCAGGCCAGGCAATGGCTGAGGCCTGTGCCAAAGCCTCCTCCTTCCCCTGCTGCAGCCCTTGCCACCTGACAGACCACTGGCACAGGTGTCCCGCAGCTGCCTGGGCTCCTGGAGCTGCCTGTTTGGTAGGGGTGGCAGACCTGCAGAGGGCTTTGGATGGCCCACTGTTCTCTCTCCTCTGCTGAAGGGGTCTGAACTTGGTGCAGATTACAGGCTGGGTTTTGAGGGCCCAGCCCCAGGGTGGAGGACTGGGATGAGCTAAGGGAAAGGGGGACCTGGGTCTTGGTTTACATGGACCCCCTGTCCTGTACAGAGGAGGAGAAGGCTGAGGCACGGGCATTTGAAGAGGACCAAGTGGCAGGGCGCCTAAAGGAGGATGTGGTGAGTGTGGAGAGAGGATTGGGGGGCGGGGAGGACTGGTTCTGCACCCAGGACCTTTCCTCTCCTTACTTCTGTCCTTTCCATGCAGCTTGAACAGAGGGGCAGGCTGCAGAAGTCAGTGGCAAAGGAGGTGAGTGGGCTGGGTTGGTGGGCAGATTACCCAAGAGGAGCTGAGGCTGTGGGAGTCTTCATTCTTGAACACCATGAACATCTGGGTAAATGTGGTCCCATAGCCTGGGGTCCTGCTTTCCTTCTGGGTAGGGTGGGTGGGAAAGGATGGTGTGGGGTGGTGCCTTTGTGCCCCAGCCATAGTGACCCAGCCCTGCCTGCCCAGATCCAGACCCCAGGTCCAGCAGACATTCGGGTCTTGCGGGGCCACCAGCTCTCCATCACGTGTTTGGTGATCACCCCTGATGACCTGGCCATCTTCTCTGCCGCCAAAGACTGCACTATCATTAAGTGTGAGTGGCCCTGGTGTGGGTGCAGCCCCAGAGATCTCTGAGGGCTGGTGAGGAGGGGTATCCCTGACCAGGGCACGCCTGGAGGCAGGTGGGCTGCTGTATTTCTGGGTGATGTCCACAGTGGCTCTGTGAGCCCTGTGACAGTTGAGACCATGAGCAAAGGCAGAAGGGTGACTTCATAGGAGTTGAAGCTATGGGTGTTTGAGGCACTGTGCAGATCTGGAATTGAGCCCTTGGACCCTTTAGGTTCCTAGTCCTTGACAGCTGAGCATAGCTTTCCCATGATGGCCACAGGAGAAATTCATACTGCCAGCCCTCAAGCACTTTTTTATTTTGGCGGCACTGGGGATGGAATCCAGAACCTTCGGCGTGCTAGGCAAGCTACGCCCCCCTCCCCCCCCTTAAAGCTCTGTTTTCCCTTTATTTTTTGAGACATGCAGTTGAGGCTTGCACTCTGTGTAGCCCAGGCTGGCCTTGAACTAATGGCAGTTATCCTCCCTCAGCCTCCTGAGTGCTGGGATTATAGGTGCATACCACCATGCCAGCTCACCTCAAAGCGCTTTGCTTTCTTGCTTTTTGGGTTTCTTGGCCATCCTTTGGAATTGCTGTCCCCACTTAACAGATTAGGAAACTTGTCTAGAGGCCCATGGTAGTCGTACTAAGTTCTCTGACTCAAGTCCTGGGTTTTTCTTCTGCCCTTTGTTTAAGACACCCTGTCTCCTACCTCAGTAACCTCTGTTCTTCCCTGGTGGCAGGGAGTGTGGAGAGTGGACGGAAGCTGCATGTGATTCCAAGGGCCAAGAAGGGTGTGGAGGGGCAGGCCCCTGGCCACAGCAGCCACGTCCTCTGCATGGCCATCTCCTCCGACGGCAAGTACCTTGTAAGGCCAGGCCAGCCTCGGGTGGGTGGGGCTTGTGGTGTGAGGCGTGCACCTTGGTCATTGCCCCTGTCCCTGCAGGCCTCAGGTGACCGTAACAAGCTCATTCTCATTTGGGAAGCCCAGAGCTGCTGCCACTTGTACACCTTCACAGGACATCGGGATGCCGTGTCGGTGAGCAGCAGCTGTGCACAGTAGGCCCTACTGGGTGGGCGGGGCTTGGTGCTAGGCTGCTGGGGCCCCCTTAGGGAACCCGCACACTGGGCAGTGAGTGGTGTGGGAAGGACATAAATAGGCTGGAGGATACTAAATGGGGAGAAGCTGAGAGAGGCGGAGTTCAGCTTGTGCAGGGGTCCAGGGCTCTGGGGGAAGCCCACACCTGCCCAAGGGGCCTGCGGGCCTTCCTGCGATGCTTCCCACAGTGCTGTTGGCGCAGCTGCCTGCAGGCCTCCGTTTCGCCTGCTGTCATCCACATCCTCTTCCTCTGCTCTCTGTCCATCCTTAGGGGCTGGCATTCCGAAGAGGCACCCACCAGCTCTACAGCACCTCCCATGACCGCTCTGTAAAGGTGTGGAACGTGGCGGAGAACTCCTACGTGGAGACGCTGTGAGTGTCTCAGTGGAGGGCGCGTGTGGGTATGGGTGGGTTCACTCGTGACCCATCCTACTCTGTCCTGCCTTCAGCTTTGGCCATCAGGATGCTGTGGCCGCACTGGACGCCCTGAGTCGGGAGTGCTGTGTGACAGCTGGGGGCCGGGACGGCACTGTGCGTGTGTGGAAGATTCCTGAGGAGTCCCAGTTGGTCTTCTATGGCCACCAGTAAGGCAGAGTGCCAGGCTGTTGGGGCCTCCTTGGGTGGTGGGGCTGGCCACACCCCTCATATCCCCTCTCTCCAGGGGCTCCATTGACTGTCTCCATCTCATCAACGAGGAGCACATGGTGTCGGGTGCGGATGATGGGTAAGAGCTGCCTCTGGCTGCCTCAGAGTGCTTGCTAAGCGCTTACTGCTGTTGCTTTTTTTTTGTTTCCTCTTCCTTTTCTTCATCTTTTTCTTTTCCTCTTCCTCTTCTTCCTTCCTCTTCCTCCCCCTCTCCCTCTTCCTGTTTGCTACGTAGTACATGCTGGCCTCGAACTCTCTGTGTAGTCCAGGCTGGCCTCGAACTCACGGCAACTCTCCTGCCTTAGCCCCTTGTGCTGGGATTGCAGGAGTGTGCCACCCTAGCCAGCTTGCTAAGCACTTGCTTCTATGGGGTTTCTCTTAGAACCCCACTGTGATGCAGACATCACAGGCACTGGTGATCTTGTCCATGTCACGTGGTTGGCACGTGGACTTGGTCCCTCTCTGCTGTGTGTGTTTCTCTCCTGTTCCTGACTTTACCTGCTGTCTCATCCACAGCTCTGTTGCCTTGTGGGGCCTCTCTAAGAAGCGGCCACTTGCCGTGCAGCGGGAAGCTCATGGGCTGCAGGGGGAGCCAGGCCTGGAACAGCCCTTCTGGGTGTCATCAGTGGCAGCCCTCCTTAACACAGACCTTGTAGCTACAGGTGGGTACCCTGAGGCAGGGAGGTAGGGGTCACAGGGGTGCTGCTGCAGTGGTTCCTCACTGTCCCTTGTTTGCAGGCTCCCACAGCTCTTGTGTGCGGCTTTGGCAGTGCGGGGAGGGCTTCAGGCGGCTCGATCACCTCTGCGACATCCCTCTGGTGAGTGGGGCTTGAATACTCAGCTTTTTTTTTCCCCTTCCCTTGAGCACCCTGATTCTCTGGGTCCCTGAATGAGCTCTTTTTTTTTTTTTTTTTGGTGGTACTGGAGATTGAACTCAGGACCTTGCGCTTGCCAGGCAAGTGCTTAGTCTACTGAGCTATCTCTCCGGGCCCTGAATGAGCTCTTAATGTCCTTCTTCCTGCTGGAAAGGAAACTTTCTGGAAGTGAGGGCCAGCTCCTAGCACAGGCCTGGCAGGACCTCACCCTTCTTTCCTCCTTTCCTGCTTCCCCTCCTGTACCCGCCATCCTGGGTCCTGTCCTGGGTGTCAAGGGCAAGGCAGGGCCTGGCACTCTTGTGCCAGCTTGATAGCCAGGCTGGGGCATATGGAATGGACCTCCACACCACAGGGGAGCGCAGCACGAGCTGTCACTGGTGTCTGACAGTGCAGGCCTAGGTCTCTAGCACTCTGTAGCCAGCACCCAGGGCCAGACCATGCCTTCGACATTCCCAGTGCCCTTGAGCTGGAGCTCTCTGCCCTGCCTCACCAGTGTGGATGCTGAGGCCCTGAGGGGTTTAGCAGCCCTTATGGGTGTCATCCTGCTTGGCCCTGTAGCCAGTGGCAGGAAGCAAGGATTTGACCTCGAGGTGTCACTGGTGCTGCCGGGGACTGGGTGGAGGGTGGTTCTGATGCTGGCCCTCTCTTTCCTCAGGTGGGTTTTATCAACAGCCTTAAGTTTTCCAGCACTGGGGACTTCCTAGTGGCTGGAGTAGGCCAGGAACACAGGTATGTGATCCTTGGGGCACTGGGCGGGCAGTGGGTGGGAATGGGGGTACAGACTGGGTGGGGACTGGGTTGGTCCCAGCTGCTTCTCTTATCCTCTGCAGGCTTGGCCGATGGTGGCGGATCAGAGAGGCTCGAAACTCAGTCTGCATCATCCGGCTGCCCAGGGTCCCTGTGCCCCCTGCAGCTGGCTCATGATAGTCATCCTCCTTATTTAAGTTCTTCCAATACCCGGCCCCACTCTTTGTATTAAAAAGATCCTTTTTTGGACTTTGTCTCTCGAAGCTTCTGAGGGTCAGGGACTATGAGGCAAGAGAGGCCTTGGAAGGGACAGACTCAGCTTGGCCCCTCTGCTGGCCTGAGAACCTTTATCCTTTTCTGAAGAGTTTAGGTAGAAGCCTCAGCTGGCTCCTAGTTCCTGGGCCCCATGTCTGCTCTATGCCCTTATCTGGCCAGCTTCCCACCCACTACTCTGGGCTGGGTGAGGTCCTTGAGGACTGGCGCTGGGGACTGAGCTGATCTGAGGCCAGGTCATGAAGCTGGAGGGGTAGAGTGCCCTGAGTTGGGCATCTAGAGTGGCATAGGATCCTATGCCTGAATTTTTCCTGGGTCCAGAGGGCTCAGGTTCTGTTCAAGCCCCTGTGGAGCTCCCACCTGTTTTGGGTCCCAGGCATTGAAAAATGAGTAGGAAAAAGTTCCTATATTCAAGAGGCTCACCTTCTGGAAGTCATGAAGAAAGGGAACAAGCTGATGTGCCACATGACAAGGTCAGGTGGTTAGAGTGATGAAGAGATGAAGCAAAGTGAGAGGACAGATGGGCTCTGCAGACCTCTGGAGAAGTGACATTGAGGGGAACTGGATCAGGGAAGACCCGGGGGAAGAGCACCCCTCACCTGGAGCCTCAGGGAGAGGGTATGGTGTGGTGGCATGGTGGGCCAGTTCAGGTGGGGCCGTATGGGTCGTTAGCCTTGGGATTGGTTCAAATGCAAGGGGAAGTCATGAGGGGATTGGTAGTGAAGTGACTGGGCCTGGTCCACATTGAAGAGGTAGAACACCCTCTGTGTGCAGACTCAACTCGGGGTAGGGCCTGGCGTGGGAGACCAGCTCAGACGCTGCAGCAATGCCAAGTGGATGTGTGCAGGGCTGGCAGCAGACTGCTCCCGGGATGGGTGTGTGAGGGAGGCTCCGACGTCTAGCTGGTGGGTTGGTTGGTGTTAGGTAGCATGGACATGGTGCTGTGTTTAAGAGCAAGCAGGGAGCTGAGCAGGAGCCTCGTGTGTGCAGTGCCCAGGTGCCTTGGGGGAAGTGAGTGGTGATGAGCTTTCTGCTGTGTTATGACCCGCAGGAAGTCACGGCACTGTGCCCCTCTCCAGGGGTCAGGGTGGGGCCCTTACTGAGCCAACTGGATCCTCCGATGTCTAGCCACGGGGATTGGGGTTGGTGCATAGATCTTGTTTAATCCAGTTGTGTTCCGATTTGGAACTTCTGTTTGGAGGTATTTCAAAAAGAAGTAGCTGTGAAAGGTAGGAACTGCTGGTTGTTAATTGGCCTCCATAATATGGGGGATGGGGAGGAAGGGAGACTGTTTCTAGGGAAAAGGGGTATAAGAAAGGACCAGTGTGGTGGACTTCTGCACTCAGCCATGTTGGCTAGCTCCCCCACCCCCTTTGTATGTATTTAGTACAGGGTCTACAGGGTCTCACTACACAGATCAGACTTGTAGTGATCCTCCTGTTTTCGGCTTCCCAAGCACTGGGATTACAGGTGTGCACCACCTCACCCAGTCTCAGTCACTGTCTCAGCGCGCCTTGGGGGTGGGGCCGGCACTACACTAGCTCTCCCTTTTTGAGCCATTTTTTCCCCTCACATTTGCTTCTAGACTAACAAGTATGGACTCATAGAAAGCTGGTGAGGGCCTAGGAGGAAAAGTGGATGGCATCTCTGGACCGTGGATAAACCACATGGCACATTAACTAGAGAGACCCCAGAAGTTGCCACCTACTGGCCACACAAGCTCTAGCTTTGAGACCCAGGGACAACAGCAACATGTCACTGAGGTGGGCCTCACCCACCGGGGTTCCTTCCTTTCTTGCCCCAGTCCTGAGTCAACACCACAGACGGCACCACCAGGACAGAGGAAGATGCCCTAGGGGATGGTCACGTCACTCACACTCCTGAGTGTGCGAGGGCCCAGCCTGGTCTTGCAGAGGTCCTAGGATCTTCCACAATTTTGCCCTTGCCCGGCCTTCTCACTTCTCAGTTTGGTAAGTTAGGAATTGTAAGGTGTATAAATTCAATTAACCCTCATCACAATGAAGATGCACATTAGTTATCACCACAAAACCCTTGTGCCTCATCTTTTCGTTCTTGTGACACTTAGGATGGAGCTCAGGGTCCTTTGCAGCCAGAAAAGCACTGCCCCAGAGCTACATATGTAGCCTTCTACTCCTGTTCAGTCAGACCTTACTCATCACTAAGTGTCACAACCACCAATGTCTCTTTTGGAGAATGTCACATAGCTGGAATCCTACAGTAGGCAACTTTTGAGGCTGGGCTCTTCTTTCCCTTCCTCTCCACCTCTTCCTTTTTTTCTTTTTTCTTTTTTTGATTCATCAGCTAACACAGAAGAGATAATTTAGTGTACACACTTTACACTCAGCCAAAAGCAAGAACAGAAGTAGTCCAGAATGCTGCAGGTCTGGGGCAAAAACCCCCCAGGAGACTGCTTAGTTGGAACGAGGTGCACCTCTCTTTGAGGTGGTCTTGTCGATCAGATGGCAGTGAAGTTCCAATCCATTGAGACATTCTAGACAGCGTGCAGTCCAAAACTTGCCCCAGCGCTGCCAGCCTGCAGCATCCTCTATTTTTGCTCCTCTGGCCTCTGTGGGTGTACAAGCTAGTTTACTTGGACCTTCTGTCTCATCTTTCTTCTATGCTTTCATCTGTGCATTTGCTTCTTCCACTTGGCTCTCATGGTGCAGAAGTTTCTAGAAAGATGGTGTTAAAGTTGAGAATTCCTCCTCTTCTTTTTCTTTTGCGGTACCAGGGATTTGTGGACCTCAAGACCCTGTGCTTGCCAGGCAAGCACTTATTTTACTGAGCTATCTACCCGGCCCCCCTTTTTTAAAAATTAAAAAAAATATTTCGTATAGGGTCTCAGTACACAGTTTGGACTTCTAGTGATCCTCCTGTCTCAGCCTCCCCCAGTGCTGGAATTACAGATGTGTGCCACCATGTCTGATTTTAGTGGCCAGCACAGCATGCCTGGGGTTCTGGGGCCAGCACAGCATGCAGTACAGAGGATTGAACCTGGGTCCTCGGGCTTGCCAGGCAGGTGATTAGACCACTGCCCTATCTTTTTAGCGCTGTCGTCTTTTCCATTGCAACTTTTATTATTTCAAATCCAGAGAGCAGGTCCCTACCTGATGTCACAAGCTAGAGGCAGAGCCAGGATTTGCCAAAACACAACCCTGGGTCTTCAGCCAGGACCTCGAGGTGACAATGACTGTGTTCTCCTTATGCCTGGCCCCAAGGCTCCAGCCCCCTTGCTTTTCAGTGGAGGCCAACAACAGAGGGAGACTATTGTTGGCAGAGCCCTGGGCACTGCAGGGGCCTAGAGAAATACCTGTGTCTGTGGGCCTGGTGCCTGGGAGGAGGAGACAGCTCTAGTGGAGACTGGAGGGCAGCTGGGGCTGAGACAGGCGTCAGAGGAGGGCTTTGTCCAGGACCAATCTTTGGTGCTCTCAGCTGGCATCAGAAAGCCCTGGCCCAAGGCAGTACCCACACGAACAGAATAGGTGTGGTCTCCAAGCAGGGACCAGAGCTGTGGCGTCAGGTGACAGGATTAGTCAAGGGCTGCAGCTGCATTCAGGGTAGATGAGGCTGTACCCTTTTTATTATTGAGTAGTATTCTACTGGCCTATTTCATGCTGTGATGGACATTTGGTGACTGAAAAGAGCTGCTGTGGACATTAGTGAACAGGTTTTCATTTCCCTAGGGTAAGTACTAAGCTGGATTGCTGGGTTTTACATTTAATAAGAAATTGCTGATGTTTCAAAGTAGTCATGTTATTTTGCATCTCTAACCAGTTTTTTTTTTTTTTT